ATTCGCGGTCGCCGCCCATGGTGGAAACTCGATCTGTTTACTCTCCAATTCCAGACCCAACAGCAGAGCGAGTTCCTCCCTCAGCCTCTCATTGGCACCCAGGACGAAGGGCCCTGGGCTGGCGAAAGCCCTGTTCCAGGAAGACCTTCTGCCAGAACAGAGGGGGAGGGGGTGGGAGCACTGGTACAGGTAAATCCAGCCTGTGAGAAGAGAATGCCACGTGCCCACAACTGACCACAGGTCCCCCCATTAAAACCACAAGAGGGGGACCTTCCTGTGGTCACCTAGACTGAGAAGCCGGACCAAAGCAAATCACAGAACCATGCCTGGGAGGTCACTCCCTGGCAGATGGGTCACCCAAGCTCATTTGTATACTCCTACACAAGGGGGGCTCACTCCTTTGCAAATTCATTCATTCCATCCTGATGGGACTTGGCTTCTAGGAAGTTCCATCAATGTGGCCTCCTTTTAACTGGACTCCTACTAGCCTTCATTCTGGCCTTCAGACATCCATAGAAATCTGTCTCCATAGAAGCCCAGTTGGCCTGGAAAATACAGCGTAGCAAGGGCCAGACCCTTCTCCCACAGTGCATACTGGCAAAACACACCCCAGTTCTTTGCTTCTTTGAGCACAGGCTCTCAACCTTGGTTGCACCTCCAACCCACCTGGGATCTCCAAAAAGCCAGGGCCCCACACACAGTGGTCTCTTAAGGGTACATACAGATGGGAAACCAGACAGCCTGGGGGCCAGGCTTCCTCCCTGGACAACTGGGCCTTTTTGGCCAAGAGAGGTTGCAGGAGGTGGCCTACAAGCGCTGCAAGACTGGGTTAATTTAAGGAACTGGGCACAGGTGTGGCTATTAACAAGCCAGGCTGTTAACCGAAAGGCTGGAGGTTCGAGTCCAACTAGAGGCACCTTGGAAGAAAGGTGTGGTGATGAGTTCTGTAGACATAAGTCATTGGAAACCCTAAGGAGCACATTTCTACTTTGACACACATGAGGGCCAACAGGACTCAGAATGGAACTGACTCCACCACAACAGACGGGCGTGGAAGGAGCCCTGGTAGTGCGGTGGAATAAGCGCTGGGCTGCTAACTATAAGGTGGGTAGTTCAAACCCACCAGTCACTCCACAGGAGAAGAGGAAGGTTATGTCTGTAAAGATTTATGGTCTCAAAGACCCTATGGAGCAGTTCTAATCTGTCCTTTATAGACATACACATACATACTTGCATATATACACATGCTTACATACATACACGCACATACTTACATACATACACACACAACCAAGGGGAGAGCTGCATGTAGCCTGACAGCATTACCATCAGTGTTGAAGCTGGGGACAGAGGGTTCCTGGAGGATCCCAATTCAAACCACGTAAAGTACTGGTATGGATGAATAATGTTGTTGTTAGGTGCTGTAGAGTCGGTACAGACTCACAGCGATTTTAACACAACAGAACGAAACACTGCCCAGTCCTATGCTGACCTCACTCTTTGCTACACTTGAGCCCACTGCTGCTGCCACTGTGCCAATCCATCTGGTTAAGCGTCTTCCTCTTTTTCACTGACCCTCCCCTTTACCAGAGAGACTGGTCCCTCCTGATAATATGTCCAAAGTAGGAGAGATGAAGTCTAGCCATCCTGATTTTCAAGGAGCATGCTGGCTAGTTCTTGTTCTATTGGCAGCATATGGTACTTTTAATATTCTCCTTCAACACCATAACTCAAATGCATCAATTCCATGGTCTTCCGAATTCCTTGTATGTGAGAATATCGAAGATATCCTGTCTTGGGTCAGGTGCACCTTAGTCCTCAAACTGACATCTTTGCTCTTTAATACTTTAAAGAGGTTTTATGCAGCAGATGTACCTCATGCAATACGTCGATTGGTTTCTTGATTTATAATGATGGTTGATCCGAGCAAAATGAAGTAGGTCATAAAGCAAGGATTGTGATTAACCAATATTTTTTCACTGGCGGTCCATGAAAAAAACAAAGACTTTGAAATGTTTGAAGATAGGCTGGGAGTGGATACAATAAGAAGATATGGTGGTTTTCAGAGGCATTCAGTCTAAGTTCCCATCCCACGGAGAGGGCTGGGACATGGGAGCAGCCCCCAGCCCGTGCCCCTCCTGAGCAGAGAGTCTGGAGGAAGGCTCAAAAGTGCAGAGAGAACCACCCGGTCATAAAGACAAAGACATTCTGATGCACATATGTGCCGGGGAAATGTGCAGAGGTCAAATACCGAATATCTCTCATAGGAGTACAGCAGATATACAGAAATTCAAGGTTACTGGTGGGTTACCAGGGGCAGGAGAAAGCGGAAGAGGAGAGTTTCTGCTTGGGGTGTTGAGTCTGTGTAAACAGTGATGGGAAGATTTGGAAGAGGACAGCCTGTGTACAGTAGCACTGTTTGCAGACGGTAACTGATGCCGTTGAACGGCCCATGCAGAAATGGTTTAGATGGTATCTGTTTTGTTATATATGATATTTTACCACACACATGCACACACACAAATATATATATGTATTTATATACCTGTATACAAGGGGACTTCAAAAAGTTCATGGGGAAATGGGATGAAAAGAGGACGGAATTTTTCCATGAGCCTTGTAAAGCCTCTTGTCTTTGTGCACAGGTGGTGAGCCCGCTCAAGTTCAGCACTGGGACACAGGCGTAGTTGGCTTGGGTTTCTGCAGGGGCCCAGGGACAGGAAACCCAAGGAGTGGGTGTTAAGGGGACAGGTCCTCCATCAGAGAAGGATTTGGAAGTTTCTAGACTAGGGGTTGGAGTCCTGGTGTGGCGCTTTAGGATAAGCACTAGACTGCTAACTACAGGGGTGACGGTTCAAATCTACCAGCCACTCCTCAGAAACCCTACACAGGGTCACTTCAAGTTGAAACCAACTCTACAGCACTTAGCAAGAGCAGGGGCTATAGCTCCCAGGCTTAAGAGGGCAGGCAGCCCTCAGATTCACATACGAAGCGATCAGACTAAGACTAAGAGATGCTACGCCTATTAACCCTGGTGGTGGTATGCTGCGGAGTTGGTTTCGACTCATAGGGACCCCTTATAGGGTTTCTGAGGTGTTAAATCTTTATGGAAGCATATATTGTATGTATGTACCAAAGGTTTGTTTGTCCATTCTTCCATCGATGGGCACTCAGGTCAGTAGTTTCAAACTGTTGCCCTTGAGGTTAGCAGTCTGACCTGTTTACCACTACACCTTCAAGTTCATGAGGAGACATATGTCTCTCAGCCCATAGTCCTCTCTGCACTTTTGGGAAAGAAAGGAAACATGACTCTTCTCCTGTCCTCCAGACTCAGTGACAGTGTTGGGGGCCACCAGGAGGTGGAAGGGACCCAGGCTGCCTGGAGTTCCCCTCCCTGCTGACAGGGAGCAGCTGAGACAGACTGTCGCTGTGTGGGCTCTGAATGGGGCAAGATCTTCCAATTTTCCAGCAAAGATGGAAATCCAGATTTTATGGTCTCTCTTCATTTAAAAGAATTTTTTAAACATACTGGGCTGCCAAAGAAAACACGTCTGGCCTGCAGAGACCCACATTTTCTTCCCAGACCAGACCCCGAAAGACTTTCAGAGTCTAAAGTTTTAAGGGCAATTTCCTCAATAGGCAGAAGGTGTCTGTGTGTGAAGGCTCAGCCTGGGGTGCTCCCTGGACTGCTGGGGCAGGGGAAGGTTACCCAAAATGTAAACCCGAAAAAAACAGAGTGGCCCCTCTGTTTGAGCCTACATTGTGCCGAGCACCGTATTCTGTGAGCATGTTGGGTGTCCTCTGAAGTCCTTCCTGCAAAGAGCTTTCAGACAGGAGCCAGGAGCCAGTGTCCGCCTCTCCGTCCACTCCTTGCCCCACTTCCAGGAAGTTGGGTGACCACGATCAGGCAGGTACCTCCACTCTGCCCTGGTCACTTCCCAGTCATGTCCTGTCCATCGCCCTCCTGTGGGCCGAGCACCAGGTTGTTGATGATGTGAGTGCATATGGGGGAAGGGGTAGCGGATATACTGAGGAGGGCACTCAGGGAGCACTAGGGGTCAGGGCACAGGGAAGACATCTGGAAGAGGCCCTGTGGAGCAAAGAGCTGGAGAGCCAAGGCTGAAAACAGCTGGGATTTCAGAACAGCCATTCACACCCAGGCCAGCATCCACTCCACCCCCATCACACCATGCCCAAAGCCAGCTGCTTGTCTGGAGGAACCTTGGGCGGGCACCTTGGTGTGCCTCCTGGCATCAGTCATTGCTGAATGGGCCTGCTGATCTCTCTCAACAAGCTCACAGGTACCTTCTAGAGTGGTGCTGTCCAGTCAAGTCATGATGTACACTGCCCAGTACAGAGCCACTGGACACACGTGGCTACTGAGCACGTGAAATGTGCCTTGTGCAACTGAGGAACTACATTTCTAACTTCTTGTTGTTATGTACCATTAAGTTGGTCCCGACTCACAGTGACCCGAGGCATAGCAGAACGAAACACTGCCAATCCCGCGCCATTCTCACAGTTGTTACTTATGAGCCCTCTGCTGCTGCCATCTTGTTGGGGGGGGGGAGGATCCTTCTTCTTTTCTACTGACCCTCCATTGATGGGCATTAACGCTGGTAGTTTCGAACTGCTGACCTTGAGGTTAGCAGCCTGACTCGTTTACCATTTTACCAAGCACGATGTCGTTCTCTAGGGACGGTTCCAAAGTACGTGAGAAGAGGTCTTACCATCCTGGCTTCTAAGGAGTATTCCAGCTGTACTTCTTCCAAGACAGATTTGTTTGTTCTTCTGACAGTCCATGGCATATTCAGTATTCTTCACAACACCATAGCTTGTTTCACTTAATGTAACTTCAAATAACTGCATGTGACGAGAGGCTACAGATCTGAACAGCTCAGATCTAAGATGTTCCTATTTGACACTAATTCAAACCCAGGTATGTGTTCCCTTGCCTGCAGCTCCAAGTCCTGTCCTTGCCCGGTCATTCTGAGCTTCACCAATAAAGCCACCAGCACTGGGGCCATTCCAGGCTCAGATTCCGCCCCTGGTTCCTTGCTGTGCGGAACCTCATTAAGGTCCTCAAGAGTGAATGAACAGCTGCTGGCACGAGGCAAGGCCTCAGGTTTGCTGACCATAACTTCTTCCCAGAAAGAGACCCCTGGTTGTTTGCTTAGCTTATAGGTGCTGTTGAGTCAGCTCTGACACACAGCGAACCCAAGTACCACAGAACGAAACACAGCCTGGTCATGCACCTTTCTCACAATTGTTATGTTTGAAGACATGCAGTTTATAGGGAAACATTTTAGTATTTACACTGAGCACTCTCAATGAGTTCAACCCTGAGCCTAGGAAGAAATGGAGTATGAGCAGCTGTGTGCCAACACAACTGATACAACCTGACTCAACAGCATCTCTCTTAATCCTCCCTTGTAGCGAGATGGGTAAACTGAGGCTCTGAACATGGAGCCTGTTGGTAGGAGAGGTCTGTCTGAGCCCAAACCCTCTGCTCTTGCCACCTGTCCTCACTGCTAGGGTGGCGTCTGCTGCGGTTGCTATTAAGTGCTGTAGACTCAGGTACAGGGAGACCTGGTGTGGCGCTGTGGGTTAATGTGCCAGACTGCAAAGCTGTTTGAACTGCAAGGTCGGCGGTTCAAACTCACCATCAGCTCCTCGGAAACCCTATACAGGGTCGCTATGGGTCAGAACCAACTCGATGGCACTTCACAACAACCTTGTATAGGGTTTCTGAGGAGCAGCTGGTGAGCTTGAACCGCTTGCCTTGTGGTTCAAATGACCTTGCGGTCCAGTGCAGTAGTCTGTGGTGGCACACCATTGCAGGAGAAAAGGGAACAACACAGGCTATGAATGAGACAGGAGGTGCAAAAAGTGAACATGATCAGCAGCTCATAGAAAGGCTAGAGGCAGAAAGGCCTGGAGATGTACTTCCCAATCAGCCACTGAAAACCCGACAGGGCGCAGGTGTACTCTGACCGCCGGGGTCACTGTGAGTTGGAATCATTTTACTGAGAAGAGATACTCGTGAAGCCAGTGGACAGACAACAGTAAGATGAGGGCTGAGGGCAGAACCAAACACAACTCCAGGAAAAAAATGTTCTGTGGAGCTTCCAGGCTGAACGAAGGGGAGAAGTTTCTATCGTTGAGTTGAACGGCTATAGTCAGGAAGGCCTCCCAGGGCCCCTATGGGACTGAGGTGGAGAGACAGGGAGGGCAGTGCACAAAGGTACAGGGCTGGGAACACATGGGGAGACCAAGGAAAAGGAGCCCAAACCCTCCCCTTCCCCCCCACTACTGCTACAGGCCAGTTCCTACACACCAGGGTCCTGGGAACAGCTTGGGGACAGCAGCCAGCTCACAAGCATCTATACCCCAGGGGGTCTCGGGCAAGTCACTTCCCGCTGGGACTCAAGTTCACATCTAGGACATAAAAGAGTTCCTGGTCCAGCCCGGAGTGGCCCAGCACTGGGTGTTTACTGAGCTGCCTTTCTTGATTGCAAAGGGCAAGGCTTAACCTGCAGCATGCTGTCCCACCGTGGACAGAATGGACCCAGGTCTCACGTCCTGCAGCACAGGCCCTGTGTGCCCTCCCCCACCCACCTCAGGCAAGAAGGGCCCAAATTAGGTTTCTAGTTCCTTCCAAAGGGCCACTGGCCTGGGAGTCAAGCTCCGGCCACAGCACTCCTGCCAAGTCCAGCGAAAGCAGCCCATGGTCCCACCCTCCCTGGGTGATGGAAGTGCCCATATGCCTGCAGTCAGGGTCGGAGTCTAAACTCAGCAGACCCCATGAGCTGGGTCAGCCCCTCACCACTCAGTCTCCTGTCTGCACCTGTCACCACATCTCCCAGCTGTCCGGGAGGAGCTTGGAAAATATCCAATAGCTGCCAGCCTCCCACAGTGAGGAGGTCCTAGCCCTCAGGCCTTTGCAAGGGATTTGGGCCAAATGTTGGTATTGCTAAGTACCACTGAGTCAGGTCTGACTCACAGCGACCCTATATAGGGTTTCCAAGAAGTGGCTGGTAGGTTTGAACCACCAACATTGAGCTTAGCAGTCCAATGCTTATCCTGCAGAGCCATACCAGGACTCCTTGGGCCAAACTGTTCACTTTTACTGTGAATTCATCCTTGGCTGTGGCCATGTCCAACATTACCAGGGCCACTGAGTGGATGGACACATGACAGGTAAACCATAACCAGAGCTTGTCACGGTGAGCGGCTGTCCAGTTGGCCCCCCGTGCTCAATACATCACAGTGCTGACGTCCGCCTTCCACAGGGCTTCCGTCAATCACCTAGTCCGTCTTAGTCTAGAAGCTCCGCTGAACCTGTTCAGCACCCTAGCAACACCCAAGCTTCCGCTAACAGATGGGAAGTGGCTGCTCTTAGGTACACAGGTTGGGAATGAAGGCGGGCCTCCCACGTGGAAGGTGAGACTAATTCACTGAAACATCACTCCCTCCAAACTAAAGCATGTTGTTGTTGTTGTTATTAAGTGCTGTAGAGTCAGTTCCAACTCATAGCGATCCCATATAGGGTTTCCAAGGAGCAGCCGGTGGGTTTGAACAACCTACCTATGGTTCGCAGTCCAATGTTGATCTTATAGCACCATACCATGAGTCCAAAAAACTTGAACATAACCACATAAAACCACAGCCAAGTCAGTGTGATCACCCCACTTTATGGAGAAGGAAACTGAGGCTCCAGAGGTCAAGACCAGGAGCTGGTCAGTGTGCCTATGTGACTGGGAAGGGAGGAGGGGGCCCCATCAAGAGGCCTGGCCTGCCCTGGTACCAATGTCCTCTTTGTCCACCCAAGAGGTGGGTGACCACAGGTGGGCAGCCTCTCTCAGAGTCTTCTGAGGTTCAGAAGGGATGGAGCTGTGGACTCAGCTCCCTGGGTAGGGAGGTACTTTGATGGGGAGTGGGGCCTGCAGCTGGGACTCAGGGAGGGCTCTGCTCAGCCCAGTCTGAGTGCAAAGGACCCTGGGTCCCTGACCTGGAGTCTCCCATCAGTGAAGTTGTGTGTGTGTGGGGGGGCCATGCACACACATACTGCTTGCTAGGACTGTGCACAGACTCAGCCACATTTCTGGTAGACAGAGATTCTGAGCCAGGCAGGCTGGGATGGGCCTTCATGTACTGCCTAAGGAAGGGCCTGGGTGCCTAGGCCCAGAGTTTGGGAGCGAGCAGGGCGGATTAGTATGGTGGGAGGGTTCTGGCTCCCACCTCTGCCTTTACTTGCATGTGGGAGCCAGTCAGAGACAAACCAACATGGACTCATGGATTCAAGCCTTCAGACAAAAGCAGCCTGTTGAGGGTAAAAACCGCACAAGACCCTCACAGCCTGCAACCTGGGCCAAGGACAGAGACCAACAGGAGACCCACCTGACACCCGAGGTAGGCCCTGGACACACAAACACACACAGAGCTAAAGACATGAAGAAGGTCTTTGGACCCATCAGGTGGTCAAGGTCAAAGAAAGAGGTTGGGTGACACACTCTGAGGGAAGCAGGCCTTCCCCTAGGCAGTTTGCTCCCATGACCCCCTTGACACAGAATGCATCATCTGAGAAAACCACAAAAGCACACTGTGATCCAGGATTCTGCTCCCAGGCGCCTGCTAACAGATGCCAACACCCCACCTGTCTGGGTGCCTCACTGCATTAGTGGTTTACACAGGAAAGGATGGCAACAAGTGCCTACCAGTGGGAGGCAGGTTAAGCCCACTCTGGCCGGTGTGCACAAGCTAAAACATGGGGTGGGGAAATCGAAGACACTGCTAGCTAATCCTTGCTGAATACTCTACGCTCTGAACATTGTACCTACATGGGCTCTTTGGACCACCCATAGTGCCTCCTCCACACCGCAGCACAAATGGATAAAAGAAGGCAGCTGAGCCCAGCTAATGGACCTTGTGGGCAGCCACCACCTGGCCATCTGGAGGACACGCATGTTGCCACAATGTTAAACAGGGTTCAGCGGCGCTTCCAGGCTTAAGACAGACTAGGAAGATTCCGCTGTTACCAAGTCGATTGTGACTCTAGGCAGAGTACAACTGCCCCATCAGGTTTCCATATTTGTAAGTCTTCACAAAAGCAGTCTCATCTCTCCCTGAGGAGCGGCTGGTGGATTTGAACTGTCAACCTTGTTGCTAACCACAAGCCCAACACTCAGCCCACTACGCCACGAGGGCTCTGACAAGGAGGAGATTTACATGTCTGTCTGAAACTCGGCCCATAGCAGCCCCATGGATCCAAACAGCCCAGTCTACAACAGATCATGGGGGGGTGGGAGGGGGGCACAGAGAAGGACCAGGCAGTGGAGTTCTTTGTGTATGGGGTTGTCGGAGGAGTCGGGGCCAACACAACAGTGTGGTCCAAAGAGCTCGAGAGGAAACGGTTGCGCAAAAGAGGAGTTGCTCAGAATAGCACAAAGTCTGAGGAGTATTTAGAAAAAAGCCGATTAAAAAAAGAAAAATAGCTTGATTGCCTTCCAGTTCCCTGGATGCCCAGGCCTGACCCAGTCAGTGACCAGGGCCCTCAGGCTGACAGCTGCTGTATTCCTGATGCAGACTGACCCTTGGCCCTCACTCCCAGTTGGGCCTGCTAAGGGGACAAGCCCCTCCAGAAGCCAACCTTGATTCCAGGTGACCCTCCACAGGGTCTCCCCAGATCTGTGCCTTCTGGGGGTCATGTGGTAGGGGGCTGGGAAGGTTTGGTAGAAGTCTGGGTCCAGGGACTGGGCACTGCCTTCCCTGAGAAGCCCCCTGGGCTCACCCCCCTAAGGCAGCTGAGGAGGTAGGTCCCTCAATAAATCTCAGACAAATATAACTAACAAACAAGAGCAAGTTGGCTCAGCAGTAGAACTTGTGCCCTCCCTGTCTGTCTGTCTGTCTGTGGAGGCTTGTGTGTTGCTATGATGGTAAAGAGATTTCAGCAGAGATTTCAGATCTAAACAGTCTAAGAAAGGTTTGGCAATCCACACCTGCAAATCAGCCAATGAA